CCCGCGCCGTGCGTGGGGCCCGGCCGGAGGAGGCGGGGTGGCTCCGGCCTCCAGGGATGGGAGGGGGATGGGGTCCGGGCGGATAAAGACTCCCGGCCTCCGCGGCGCCTCCGCAGCTGCGCAGCGGGACTGGAGGCCTTGGGGACCTGGTCTTGGGGAGTAGATCTGCCCTTCTTTCGGTCTGGGGGTGAGGCGCAGCGGGGAAGCTGGGTCCCCCTCGGGTCCTGACTAACTTGCGTGGGTGGAGGCCGATGCCCGGAGTTAACTTTTTGCTTTTTCAGGCTGGGAAACTGAGGCCTCGCGGGCGGAGTGAGCTGCCTGCCTGGACTCAGGGCAGGGACAGGCGGCGACCAGGCTGAAGTCCTGTCCTCCCACAGCACGGAGCCTGCCTCTCAGGACCGTGGTGGCTGTCAAGGCCTGGGGACCATAGGAGGCTCCCGGGACAGGGGCTGTGAGCCAGGTGACAGGGTGGGCCTCGCCGCACTCCCACCGATATTGGACATCTGGAGCTGATAAACAGCCCTGGATGACCCCCCACCTGGAGAGGGAACTGGCCCTGCTGCAAGGTGGCGGGAGCCATCCTCTCCCTGGCCCCCCTTCCTACCTCAGGGCCTTTGCACTGCCGTGCCCCCAGGGCCGGCCAACGTGTCACCTGGACGCACACACGCCCACCGCACTCCGGCTGTAGTGGAGCAGCCGTTCAGAAGAGTGGGTGGGCTCTGTGCTTTCCAGACCCGAGCTGACCAGGGCGCCTGTAACTTCAGCCAGGCCGGGTCTGGGGCCCCTGTTGGGCCACCCTGCCCTTGGGCTCCAGCCATGGCGGAAGGTGCGCCTTTCTCAAGGCGGGCAAAGTCGGCAACCGCTCCGAACCTCAGTTACCCATTCATGAAAATGGAGGGTATAAACCCAGCGTGGTGGCGCACGCCTGTAATCTCAGCACCGGAGAGGCTGAGGCAGGAGGATTGTTGCAAATTCGAGACCAGCCTGGGCTACAAAGTGAGCTCAAAGCCAGCTGAACTGCACAGCGAGACCCCGTCTCAAAAAGACCAAAAAAAAGACAGCAGCCCATTTGGGACTCCTGTCTCTCAGGAGCTATTCCTGTTCCCCATTCCTTTTTCCAATAAATTTTCCTGCTCTTAGAAAAAAAAAAAAAAATGGAGTATGTAACCTTACCCACCTAATAACAGGGAAGGTTTTTTTTTTTAGCGAGAATTTGTTCTTCTTGTACTTTCAGTCTTTTCAGACAAGGTCTCACTATGCAGTCCAGGTGGCACTCAAACTCTCAGAGACCCTCCCTCCGGCATCTGCCCTCCAAGTTTGGTATACAAGCCACACCTACCATAGGGAGAATTTGAAGAAATAGTAAGGGCTTAATACATGTTTTCCGTAATATTTTACTTTATTATTTACTTAGCTGCAGTTCTTTGGTTCTGTGTTCTCTGAGCTTAGAGTGCCTTGGTTTACCCTCTTGGCAAACTCCTTCTCGTCCTTCAAACTCCTACTCATCCAGGCCGTTCCCTTCTCCAAGAGGTCTTCCCTCCTGGGGCTTCCCTAGACACCCTTCACTCGACCAAGCCCTGTCCTGATCTCCATCAGGTTCTTTTTGTTTTTTGAGACAAAAGTTTGGCTATATAGTCCAGGTTCCTCTTCAGCTCATTGTATTGCCCAGGCTGAGCTAAAACTGAGGACTCTCCTGCCTCAGTCTCCCAGTTTTAGGATGACAGATGGGCAGGCCCCACCCTGCCAACTTGTGTGGATGGAGAGGGTGGCTCCTGCCCACTTTCTTTGTCCCAGCCAGCGAGTCCCCAGGACACCCTGTTCCCATCCCTCCATCTGTCCCAGCCCTGACGCCGTGATGCAGGGGGCAGCTGGGTCCAGCGCTGTCCTCCCAGGCTGCGGGCTCCTCGGGAGCGGGGCTAAACCCACGAAGCAATCTCCTCAAAAGCAGGTACAGCCGGCCCATTTGGCACAGGCGCGGCTTGGGGGTTGGGAGGGTGAAAAGGAGGGTGACTTTGATCCCCTGATGTGGGAGGGGCACCCCCGGGCGATGCTGGAGGAAGGACAGGAGGCTGAGCAAATCACCCCATAACGGGGCGTTAAGATCCCCGGGGCGGCAGAGGCAGCAATGAGCTGAGCGTGGTGACACACACCTGTCATCCCAGCACTCAGGAGGCTGAGGCAGGAGGACCATCGAGAGTTCCAGGCCAGCCTGGACTACATGGCCAGTCCCTGTCTTAAAAACTGGAACCCCCCCCCCAAAAAAAAACCCGAAACCCAAACGAAGCCACCTGTGGGTCCGTTTGGCCTTCAATCTTTATCTAGGCACCCAGAAACCCACAGTCAGCTCTGCAAAGCGGGGAGCCTGCGCGGCGCGGAGCGAAGCCGGAGTGGGGCCCCTCCTGGGGCAGCTTGCAGGACCCGCGGGCTGCGCGGCCCTCCTCGGCGCATTCCTGGGGATCGGGTTACGGCCGGCGCCTCCTTCTCCGCCCGCTTCCGCCCTCCCCAGCTTCGGGCCGCTGCGGAGTCCCCACCAGCGCAGGTGTGCGCCGGTTACCAGGCGACCCGGAGCCTGCCCGCTGGGGTGGCGCTGGCTCCTTCCTGCTCCGGTTTACGAACGGGGGAACTGAGGCCCGGCCGGCCCTGCACAGCCGCGATGGAAGCGGACTGAACCTGGAAGATCCTGCTTTTCGACAAGAGCCCCATTGTTTCTCCCCACTCATCCTCAAGGCTGTGGTGGCCCAGCCTCCTCTAGGCTCCGGAGAGTGGCTTTGTCCCATGTTTGTTGATTGACTGACCGTACAGAGGGAGCCTTGAAGAACAAGATCTGAATGTTTATTTGCTGTGTGCCCAGCCCGGGTCTGCCCCTCTCACTGGCAAATACTGGTGTCCCAGGAACTTGGGGTGGGGTGGGGGGGTTGTCAGCGAAGGGTGAACTGTTTCACCAGACCAACTTTAGAGAAGACGGTCTGTTGCTCTTTTGAGATTCGGGCACCAATAATTCATCCATACAGCCATGCTCTACTGAACACCTACTGTGTACCGGGCCAGGGTTTTCCTCCTCCACCCCCGCCAAAAAAACCTAATGCCCAGTTGGCTCTTTTGTCACGAACCTGTGATCCCAGCATTCAGGAGGCTGAGGCTGGAGGATCCCCAAGAGTTCAAGGTCCGCCTGGGCTGCAGAATGAGACAAAAGAGCCGCTGTTCAGGGTGTGGCACCGGTAGTCCCCGCACTCTGGGAGGCTGAGGCAGGAGGACTGCATGTTCAGACCGGGTCTGGGCAATTTCTAGGGATGTCGCTCAGTGCAAAGGCCCTCGGCTCACTCTCCAGCACCACAAAACTAATCAATAAAACCACGCCCTGTGGGTGTCAGTCGTCCCCTCAGACAGCCCCGTCTGTTTGTGCTTCCAGACAGCGCAAAAGGGAACCTTCGAGGCGCTAGAAATGAAAAGCCGGCTTCTCACGCCAGAAACAGAAAGAAGCCCCAAAACTCAAGCGACATCAGGGAGGGCTGGCACCGCCTCCTTCGAGCTCCGGCCTGAGCTTGGCCCGCAGAGGCGGCTCAGCACCGTGGGTGTCCCAGCTCCGCCAGCCCTGTGTGGGTCTGGCCTGCCTCAGCCACCTGCTGACCCACTTCCGGGGAGCCGGCCTGGGCCCGGGTACAGGCAGGGCCTCTCTCTCGCGGCGGCTTCAGCTTCGTTCAGGAAATGGAAGTCCCCACCTCCGCTCGGAGGCCTCTGGGGCTGCCCCAGCCCCGCCTGCGGGCCCGAGAGCCTTCCCAGCTGCGAAGTGGAGGAAGAAGAGAAGGCCGGCCTGGGGCCTACAGTGGCCCACTTAGTGAATGGAGGCTGAGACAGGAGGGTCGCCGCAGGTTTGAGGCCAGCCTGTTACACCGGAGTTCAAGGCTGGCCTGCAGCATAGTCAGACCCTACGTCAAAAACCAAAAACGGGAATTCACAGACTGGACAGTTGTGTCTCGAAAGGCCCACCGCCCGGATGGCGAGGCGGAGGCCGGAGTCCGGGCCGCACACCTCCGGCTGCGGCCGTGCTCGAGGGCAGGGGCCGGCG